GTGAGATACCCAGAATCATGGATCTCATCAACCTTGGATTCACCACCTTCTTCCAGTGTGCAGGACAAATACATCAAGGAATCAGAGGAGCCCCCATGGGATTGTGACCATCTGGACTCGTAGCTGAGACCACAATGTGATGCCTGGAATCTATAGGACTCCCACGCATGCAACACAACGTGTGGCTCCAGTACATGGACGACACCTTTGTCATATTAAAAAGGGACCAACTAAAGAAGAACCCGCAGCTCTCAGCAAGATTGCCAATTGCTCCTTCAAAGAAATAAAATTCACAAGAGATGAAGAAAGAGACTCTAAGCCTTCCTGGATGTATCAACATACATCCTTCCTGGATGTATCAGCCCTGCTCGATGCATCAGCTCCGGAAAAGACACCTAGAGAGTAGTTGGAGGACCAGCCGCTCCGAATCCAACCGAACACTGGTGAGGTCTCATATTTAGACCTACCTAGTGGCGATAAAAGCGGCGAAATCTAGCTATTTTGCCGCTCTTATCGCATCATCAGATAATCGCCCAGCCACCCTGTTTAGGGTGACCCGCTCCCTCCTCCATCTGGAAGCGCGGGATGATCCCTTGAAGGGTCGAGCTGAGGACTTTGTGCAGTATCTGTATGACAAGATCGCTCAGATTCGGGAAGTCCTGGCCTCTGACTGGGTAAGTCCAGACGGGATGACTGAGGCAGGTCTTGAGAGTGTTATCTGGGAGGAGTTTGATCCTGTTGCTCCCGAGGACGTGGACAGGATCCTGGGATGGCTGAACGCGACCACATGTTTATTGGACCTGTGTCCCTCCTGGTTGGTACTGGCTTCCTGGGAGGTTACACGAGGCTGGCTCCAGGAGATTGTTAACGCTTCTCTGAGTGAGGGGGTCCTGCCGACCGCTTTGAAAGAAGCGGTGGTGAGGCCCCTCCTCAAGAAGCCGTCCCTGGATCCGGCTATTTTGGCTAACTATCGTCCAGTCTCCAACCTTCGCTTCGTTGCGAAGGTTGTTGAGAGTGTGGTAGCGTGGCAGCTTCCCTGGTACCTGGATGAAGCTGTCTATCTGGACCCAGTCCAGTCCGGTTTCCGGCCTGGGCACAGCACGGAAACGGCATTGGTCGTGTTGGTGGATGATCTCTGGAGGGCTCGGGATAGGGGTTGTTCCTCTATGCTGGTCCTATTAGACCTCTCAGCGGCTTTTGATACCGTCGACCATGGTATCATGTTGCACCGGTTGAAGGGGCTGGGGGTGGGGGGCACCGTCCTGCCTCTCGGACCGGTTGCAATCCGTGTTGACAGGGGGGCAGAGGTCGACCTCGAGGCCTCTTATATGTGGAGTGCCTCAGGGGTCGGTCCTCTCGCCCCTCCTGTTCAACATTTATGTGAAGCCGCTGGGCGAGATCATCCATGGCTTTGGGGTGGAGTTCCATCAGTACGCTGACGACACTCAGCTGTATATCTCCACCCCAGGCCACCCCAACGATGCCCTTGAAGTGATGTCCCAGTGCCTGGAGGCCGTGCGGGCCTGGATGGGGAGAAACAGGCTCTGACTCAATCCTTCCAAGACCCAGTGGCTGTGGCTTCCGGCGTCCCGATATAGCAAGCTGGTGCCATCGCTGGCTATTGGGGGCGAATCACTGGCCCCCATGGAGAGGGCTCGCAACTTAGGCGTCCTCCTGGATGCACGGCTGTCTTTAGAAGAGCATATGACGGCTGTGGCCAGGGGGGCTTTTATCAGGTTCGCCTGATACGCCAGTTGCGTCCCTTTTTGGATCGGGACTCCCTACGCACGGTCACTCAAGCACTCGTCACTTCCTGCCTGGACTACTGCAATGCTCTCTACATGGGGCTCCCCTTGGGGTACACCCGGAGGCTGCAGTTGGTCCAGAACGCGGCCACGCGGGGGATTATGGGAGCAACGGGGCGCTCACATATAACACATCTCCTGCGCGAGCTGCACTGGCTTCCTGTGGTCTTCCGGGTGCGCTTCAAGGTGTTGGTGACCACCTTTAAAGCGCTCCATGGCTTAGGGCTGGGGTATTTGCGAGACCGCCTTCTGCCGCCGATAGCCTTCCACCGACCGGTTCGCTCACACAGAGAGGGCCTCCTCAGGGTGCCGTCGGCCAGGCAGTGCCGGCTGGCGACCCCCAGGGGAGAGCCTTCTCTGTGGCAGCGCCTGCCCTCTGGAATGACCTGCCCCCTGAGATACGCACGATATCAGACCTCCGGACTTTTTGTCGGGCCCTGAAGACACACTTGTTCCATCTAGCTGGGCTGGCTTGATCCCATCCTCTCAGTTTTAATTGAATTGGTTTTAATTGGGTTATTTTAATTACTGGGCCGAAATTATTTAATTGTTTTTAAACTGTTTTTTAAATTTTATATGTTATGTTTTATCTCGGCTGTGCACCGCCCTGAGTCCCGCAGGAGAAGGGCGGTATAGAAATATAATAAAATAAATAAATATATAAATATATACACAGTATATATGTAAGAGGCAGGTCCCTTCCAACTCATTCTGTATTTTGCAAGTTCTGCAGCAGAGAGGAGGGGCAGTGACCGGTGGAAGAGGAAGGGATTGGACAGCAGAGCCCGGAGCTGCTTGTCAAGCCCCTTTCCTGAAGTTGGGCTCACGAGAAGAGTTGGGACGGTTGCCATGAGGCCAGCCTTAGATGGTATCAATAGTAGGGACACCAACCTATGATATTGCAAAAGAACTGATAAAAAAAGGATGGTCATCTCAGAGAGGGAAGCAAATGCTCCATCAACTCCCCACTACAGCGGCTTCAAAGAATGAAAGACCAGAGGATAGATGAAGGTGAAATCAGGGACTCATTTCATGTCACACGGCGCCTTTCACACCCAGGAATGGCAAAAGGATGCATGGCAGCACCATTACAAAACCTGAGTGGGATTAAGTAGAACAGCCTTCCTTGCTTTCCTCGACCTCCTGGGGGTTTTCAATACCATTGTCCGTAGTATCCTTCTGGGCCAATTTAGGGAGGGATTTAGGCTCCAACCTCTACTTGAAGGACTCTGAATAGGCCGAGGGCCAGAGTGCCTAAATGTAAAACCAGTATGCTCACGCGAGTCTCTGCTGCTGCTGTGAGGAAGAACAGCAATATATCTGTGTGACAGAAGACCCTGCAGGAAGGGTAGAGGGACCCCAGAGAGAGAGGCTGTCAGCCGTTGATCGATGGGCTTTGTGGTGGTGACCTACAAAGTTCTACAGAAGACTCCAGAACTGGAGCAACGGTGAGAAGATGCAGAGAAACATGAACCAAATGAGCTTCAGAAAGGAAACCCATCAGGTTTTTTGACAACCACCTCTGTTTTAGGATTGAAGGACAAGCTGGACACGAAACTGCCAGAGGAGCAGATGGAGCAGTAATGACCCAAGGGCCAGAAAAACGAAGGGTGCTACCCCAGTAGATGTTAGAAGTCAAAAGGGACCAGCAGGCAGTAGGAAAGTGAAATACTGTATATTGAAGCTAATATCCCATAGCAATTTAGGGAATAGTCTCCCTAACTCTTTACAACTTCCTGTAAAGAGCAGAAACACAGCTCTGCACCCTGTCTAGGGCATGGAGTCTGCAGCCATGGGGCTGGTCCCTGAAATTCCTCCCCCCATCCCTTAATTTTTAACATGCCTCACCCTCTTAAATTTTACATGTTATATTTTAACATCTGTGAAGGAGATGGCTGGTTTCAAAATTTGATAAATGCTCTTCAAAACTATAAAAGTAAGAAAATGCTTTGTGCTCTTTAAATATCATTTTATCCACTATTCCAAGTCTGAAGGTAGAGGGTTAATTTTAGAAATAATCTTTTTGAAATTGGAGTGCTTCCTCCCCAATATGATCAGTGTCCTGTCTGTCGCCATTCCTTTTCAATACTGGCCATGGGGCAGAAGGAACGAGGGGTCATTCTCATGGATGGACTACTGGCAGGACTCCAGAGAGTGACATTTGCCCAGCCTCGACTTGTACAAGAGTTGTGCCCTTACCTAGAGAACAGGAGGCCTTAAGGGTGGTCAGACATGCCATAGTCAACCTGGAAATGGACTACTATAATTCACTGTATGTGGAGCTGTCCTTGAACGCTATTTTGAAAGCTTCAACTCATGCCACTATAGCAGTTCCATTAACTACAATTTCAGGTGGGATATTGCTTGAATATATCAGGTTGTCACCTGAAAAGATCTACATGAATCTGGACTTCTCTACAACCTCCTCCTTCTCCAGGGTGGATCTGCCTGACCAGCGAGATCTCATGAGAAAAAATGCCACCTACAGAAGATGTATTTGGTGCACTTTCTTCTCAGGGATGGTTCCCATTCCAGGAATCACACCTTGGACTCCTGGGCCTATGGGACCATTCACTCTCTGGACCTCTGAACCACCTCAAGGCTGTGGCTCTTCAGAAGCACATTTGGGGATGGGGGAAGATGAGCCTTCCCTGTGCTTGTGGCACTGGACTGCTATCAGTTGTCTAAAAGTGAATGATTGAAGGTCATTCTGTGGTTTACTTTATGTTTATTGGTGGATATCAAATGTAGCTGCTCCCCCATGCAGAGTTTCCTTATTGCTTTAGAGGGTAAACTGACAGATATAAGTTAGATCAGAAGATTAATAAACCATGCACAGTAAGCACATGGCAGAGCAGAGCAGAGGAAACGTCCAAGGTCCTTAAGGTTGGTGGAAGAACTTTATGGATGAAGCCAAGAGGGTTTTATTCTCCCATCCTGCTCACTGCTGTACAGTGCAACTTCAAATCTTGCTGTTAAGGGACACATGATGATACTCACTCTGACATATGCAGGATTGTGACATCAGTGGCCAGTTTCAGGTTTGCTGAAACTGCTTCAGACATCAGGCGAAGCGATTTGGGAAAACAAGCGTTCTAGAAATGTATAAATTATGTGCATGTTTTGCAAGCAGAACTTGTAGTCTTCAGAACCAACAGAGATTTTGCCCAAATGGGTGTTACGCTGCTTATGCAACCTCTCAAAAGGCTCCAATTCCCATTACGGCACCAAGGGATTGAAGAAAGTGCCAGATATACCTTACAGTGCAAATCAACTGGCTAGATATAATGCTGAACCTACTGAAAGGCACTGGCAAGCCGCTAAGCAAATACTTCGGTATCTGAAGCAAATAATTCATTATTTGCTATATTTGGAGCCTGGTACTGACTTAGTTTTAACAGCATATGCTGATGCAAGTTTTGCAACTGATTTACCTACTCGTAAATCAACATCAGGTATAGTAGTAATGTTGGGTAATGCTTTGATAGGATGGAAATCTACTAGGCAAAAGCACATTAGTTTATCAACTATGGAAGCCGAATTTTCATGTTTATCCTTAATGTGTACTGAATTGGTATGTTATAAATGATTGTTAATCGATATGGATTAACTGTGAATGATCCGTTTGTCGTTTATGAAGACAATCAATCTGCAATAAATATGGCTACTAATATAGCTGTAAGAACACGGTCGAAGTATACTGATTTGCAATACTTAAATGTTAGACAGTGTATACAAAGGAAATTGATTCAGTTGGAGTACTGTATGACTGAACACAATATTGCAGATCATTTCACAAAGGCTCAGGGTGCAGTTAAGCACAAAGTGTGTTGCGAGTACCATGGTTTGAGGATGTAAGGTCTTATATATTGTCCTACCCAAAGGGGAGAATGTTAGGAATATGACTATTACTTAACTTGTTGGGTTGGCAATATATAAACCATCATATAAACCATCAATGTATGTTTACAGTGTGTTGTATTGTATAGCTTTAAGACTGCTGTATTGCATCATACTGTGTCCTGAATGGTTAGCTCTATTGCCAATGTCCTTAAGAGGGAGCTAGAAACATGGCTTGTTCTCTTTGTTGTTCTTGCTCTGATATCTGACTTCGTCTTACTGTTTGCAACCCCAGAAGAACTGTTTACTGTGTATGGTTAATACAACTGGTATGAAGACTTTATTGGACTGCGTAAACTATAACATGATTCAGTGTATCTGTGTGGTGGCTGTGCTTATTCATAACTACTCTCAACCACTTTCAGGTGCACACCCTTGCTACTCAAGAGTTATTCCTTAAGAAAGTATCCCAAAAATCTCCAACTTCAAGCAAAAGCTGCTTTTTCCTTTTTTTTTTTTAGCCCATCGGGTAGCAACAATGGAACAGGAGGAGGACAGATACCAAAAGTTATGTTCTATGCATAACATCAGAAATTGGAACTTTGTTATTATATATGTTGACCTCGGCAAGACTATTAGATGCCCCAAAATGGAAGGACACGGATTCCTCCTATGGAAGAATGGTTGCAGGAGGTGATGGGAATTGGCTGAAATGGCAAAAATTGACCACTTTGATTAAAGAAAAGAACATAAATACTTTGGTTTCTACACGGACACAGTTTCTGAGCTTCGTGCTTGATGTAGAAATGAAAGAAAATCTGACTTTGGGTTTTACCAATTAGACAGATAGACCTTTATAGAAATGGCTTGTTCATATTATTATGAAAAAGCAAAAAGCTGGGATTTGAGGCCAATGCCTTCTTTTACTGTAACAGAGAGAGTCGGAAGTCAATGCTTTTTATCATCATCTTTCCTCACTTCTCTTTCCCCTTCTCTGCCCCCAACCACTTTTCTATTTACTTTGCATTTTGTATTTTATAATACTTTATAATTCAATAAAAAATTGTTGAAAAAAAAGGAAACTGATCCAGAACAAATAGATGCTGACATTCTGGAAAGAGGGCAGAGAAGAGCACCAACAAGAAGTATGCTATCTCACTTATTTTGGCCACGTCATGCCAGGGATTTTGCTGGAGAAAGCACATACATTGGGAAGAGTCATTGGGAAAAGGAGGAGACCAGGCTGCCGGAGAACATGGTGGCTGGGCACCATCACAGCTGGCCTCACCAGCTGGAAGATGAACAAACGAAAGAAGCAATGCAAGATGGGGAGAGACCACCTGGCCCATAGAATCTCCAAGAGTCATCATTCATGTTTCATGTTGCTTTTATGGATTATAATTCACGGAGTTGCACCTCCAGGCGAGATGGATGGCACATTCAATTTTATAATGGGATCCAGCCTCTTGATATCCAAGACGAAACATGGGAGACTACAGCTTTCCATGTCACATCCATAATATGGCCACTAGGCCACTCCTCACCCAAGAGACAATCCACTGTCCTTCAACAAGTGTGGGGGGCTTGGTCTGCTATTTGCTTCCAAAACTTACTTTGGAAAAAAAATCCCAAGTAATCTAGTTGTTCTATTTGTAAACCGTTCTCAAAAGATGCTAAATTACAGAAAGGAAATGAAAAGAGCCCTCCAAAGGTGCAGAATTCTAAAGCCACCTTAGCGAGGATGAATTGCACCCATCAAAAATGAAGATAAATCATTCGTTTCAAACTTCACCAACTCCAATTTCAGAAAAGAAATCATCAATACGATGACTGGAGCGAGGAGTTAAAATTGAAAAATTTACAAGATTCAAAAGATGGAAGTCCTCAAATAATAGGTTACTACGTGAGGAGCTGGCCTAAGCCAATGGGCTCTTTGATATTAATAGTACAAAGATACAAAAAGATGACAACACTCTGAAGGGAAACAATAAGGATATAATAATACTAGAATATGATATACTGGTATACTAGATTCTGTAACCATTAGGTTCCTGTAATACATATATGCCTTTGTATTTGTATCTCCTGTAACAAACATGTTCTGTTATTAGGCCTCTGTAACGTATCTGGTATTTGTCAAACATTTGTTCCTGCCATTTGATCTGAACCCATATCAACCTTCTTCCTGTTTTTCTTATGCCATCTAAGAGCATGATAGGTATCTCAGTTGGAACTGCAGACATCATCCGAGGAATAATTTACACTTCAGCCATAACTTACACCTTTGACCTTTAAAGCGCTCCATGGGTTAGGACCTGGATATTTACGGGACCGCCTTCTGCCGCCAATAGCCTCCCACTGCCCAGTATGCTCGCACAGAGAGGACCTCTTCAGGGTGCCATCGGCCAGACAATGTCGGCTGGCGAGCCCCAGAGGGAGGGCCTTCTCTGTGGCGGCATCCGCCCTTTGGAACGAGCTACCCCAGAGATACGTCCGATCCCGGATCTCCGGACTTTTCGTCGGGCCCTTAAAACTCACTTATTTCATCTAGCCGGGCTGCCTTGATCCCATCTTTCGGTTTTAATTCGTAATTGATTTTATTGGGGTGTTTTTAAATTGTGGGCCGAAACTACTTAATATCTTTTTAAATTGTTTTAAATTTTGTATGCTATGTTTTTACCTTGGCTGTTCACCTCCCTGAGTCCTGCTGGAGAAGGACGGTATAAAAATCAAATAAATAAATAAAATAAATGTATAAGCTCCTTCCTTGCAGAACCAGGGGGCCAAATGAGCAATTGGGAGAACAAAGGAATGCTCAAGGAAAAGATAATGCTAATTGGGAGGCTTCTATTCCTTTGCAGGGCAACAAGGAAACTTAAACTAGGAGGCTAGAATTGGGTACTAAGCTGATATCTCTGAGGGTATAAAGGATGCCATACCTTCCCCAAGGTGTGGCTATCTCCTCACATGCATTGTATCTGTATGTTCTGGATATAGTCCCACCCAGTATTTTGTTTTTGGCCATAAATAAAATCTGCTTTTTTTTTTTGCAAGGCTCGTCTTGAGTCTCTCTCTTTGGCATTCTGGTGACTCAAGTATATTTTGGAAACTTACAATTCTAAAAGGGATGTATTATCTCAAACAAAGTTTGATAATGAGAAATAATAAGATCAACAATTTCCCTGTTAGGCTCTCCTTCAAATGCCTTCCATGCTGGAGGCAATTATAAGAAAAAATGTAATTACATCCGCAGATACAGTTCACTTAGACCCAAGTAACAGATTAAATTGCAAGAATTATTTAGCAAAGACCAGAATGTAGCATGGTTGATGTACTTACAAATTGCCCAAAGGATAAAAGCTCATTTTAAGAATGAGAGATGTAAAGAAAGAAAAATACCAGGTTAAAATGCTCATTTTCCTTTCTCTTTTTAATATTCATAAGCAGTAAATGATAGACCGAAATTCTTATTATACTACAAAATAATTCAGTGCATTTTGTAGTGGTCTATTCGTGCTAAGCTAAACACTGAGCTTTAATTGTACAATTCGGTCGGCAACGTCTCAGAATTACAGTTAACGTTATGGCCCTTTTCCCACTCTTCGGAGGTTTAAATTGTCTGCATCATGTAATATTGGTAATTTCTAGTTCCAATTCTACAAATGCCACTGTGGCCAGATAGATACTTGCAAGACTGCTCAAATATTCAGAGTTTTAGGAGCAACTATGTGAAGCATAGAAGCATTTGATATAACCTTACTAAACACAATTCACAGGAGAGCATTTTTTCCTTCCTCTTGCTAGCTTCAATTTTATCAGCCTCCTAAGTAATTTGTTTCCTGGGGGCTTAATTTAGCAAATATTTCTGTTTCTGTATACAACTCCCATTGTTATCTATTTGTTGCTTCATTTTACTTAGAGAAGCAATTTTAATTCTGGAGTTTTAAACATTTAGAAAATCAGGCATTTTGCAAATATAGAAATTATAGCTTATGGCAAGTTTTTTTCTTCCCTTTGGGTGTGGCAAAAATGACTTCACATGGGGCATGCTATTACATATATGTGTTTACCTGAAACTTTTTGTGTTGCTTTATAGTTTTTACTGTGTTCCCCTGTGCCTTGAAACCAAATTTTCCCAAACCTGAAGTTTCACATTTTCTAAAAAATTGGCATCAAACAGAAGTACGTGGAGATACACTATTTATGAACTTTTGAATGCTGTCAGGAAACGGGAATCCACACTCTGAATTACGGTTGTGCCATTGTGGGAATGTGTCTAGAGGGCTCCAGGATTGACAGGACCATTTTAAATTCTCCCTTCTCCTACAACTGGCCTCTTTGGTTCTTATGGTATTTATTACAATGGTTGTTATAGCCACATTTCCTGTTTTTGTACACCCCCCTTTCATCCATAGTTGTGCCCTGCTCTGAGAGTTGATGGCGATGGTGCCCTGCCCTCTTCGGACTTCTCCTAGCCAGCCCGACTCTGAGTAGCCCTCAAAGCCAAGCAGAGAAGCAGCCGAGCGTGGTAGGTATTGTGGTGGAGGAGTTGTGGTTGTGGTGGAGTCATTTTGGGAATGAGAAGGGTGGAGGGGGGTTCTGTGAACTTTGTGGAAATAAAACCACTGGGGGCAGCTGAGACCCAATAGGCAGAAGTAACTCTTTCCCGAGTTCCGGATTAGAGACAGTAGTAGTAGTAGTAGTAGCAGTGTGAGAGAAGGAACCGCGAGTTCATTGTGTGCTTGTGGGTGGGTTGCCTCAAGGCCACAGATAATTGTGTTGACTTCTCTGGGGCTTTTTGGGCATAGATAAGAAGAATCTGACAGTGGGCTACATAAATGTAATTAATACGTTTAATTAATAAAACCATGTTCCCAGAGAAATAACCTCCGTGAAAAAAGAAAAAAGAAGCAAAAACTATTTGTGAAAGTGTGCGGACTGCCTGTGCACATTGGCTTCTTCCTCGCTTTGTGCAAAGGAAGACCTGGGAAGCTCATATTGTCTCTCTGAAAGCTCCACAACCGGAGGTCAAGCGAGATGCCCAGTGCAAGTCCTCCAAAGCCTCAAGAGAATGCCACAAATGTTGGCCTTAAGTCAGGTTGGCACGAATGCTGGCAGCTTCCGAGCCAAGAAGGGACAGTGGGAGAAAGGTGCCGCCTTGGTCAGGGACCCTACTCTGACCCATCACCATCTCCTCCCTCCACCATCCCCCTCAGGGCTGTTCTTGAGAGGATAAAACCGGGGTTTTGCGGATCCTTCCTTGAAATTCAGAGGAGAGACGGACCGCGTACAATATATTCTACACACAAGCAGGCTCCCAAATCTAACCACCACGGTCAGCCATGGAGAAGCTCTGGAAATCTGCTTATGTTGGGAATTGAGGATCATAAGAAGGGGAAGGGGAGGACGAACCTTTGCCCTTATAACGTGTGGGGATATTTTCCTCTCTCTCTCTCTCTACAGAACCATTGACAGATATTTTAGCTTCACCCCACTGTTGTGGCCCCACCCTCTGAGCCTATCTCATCGGAGGAAGAAGGCTCCGAACACGAGGGAGAGGAGTCAGCCAGGCCTCCCTCTCCAGGCCCCCTCCCCTCGGCACTGTCTCAGGTGCCGGCGAGGGAGAGGAGATTAGCCAGGAGCCAGGTGTCTCGATGAGAGCGAAGGAGAGCCGTCATTCCTGGATGCACGCCAACGAAGGCGTGATAAACGGTTGCAGCAGTTAAGGAGGCATGCTAGGGATTATAGCTGAGTCCTGAACTACACCCCAGAGA